AAAAAAAAAAAGTGTTAATAAAAACTGTAGTGAAGCACAAATGTACCAGTGACCTAAACGAGTCAAAAACCCATGTTGTAAGATTACATTCATACATCAGCTTTACTTAAATAGCTCATTCATTCCCCTCATTCAGCAAATGCTAATGTAAATACATGCAGTTGCGCTACACTTTTAAGCTCTGTTTCCTTTTTCCGTGCAAGTTCAAATGCTCATTTATATGCAACTACGGAGGCAAAGCAATTAAATTGTCAGAATTAACAAATTTGTTTTTAACGCAAGTGCAGCCAGGAGTGAAGTCAGGAGGTGCATATTGATCACAGGAACAGAGACATTAGTCTTCAGTTATTTACACTGCTATGAGTTGCCCAACACCGAAGCCCGCACCTAGACAAATCAATCCCCACAAAAGATGGCGCTTTCCAGCCATAAATACATATCTTACCAAACTACCAGCCATCCGCCTTAGGGGTGTAAATCGGACCACTGTTTCCTGGCTGGCGATGAATGATCGCAATTGTGCATGCCAAAAAGGAGAGGTTTTGATATGATGATATATTTTGAGTGATGAAAAAATAATTTGCAAACAAGCCTGTCTGTAAAAAGAAATGCTGTTTCATTTAAATGCATATCGCTGTTATTTGAGGGGGGAAAATGATATGCTTCATTCATCCAAATGTAAATTGTATATACTGTATATATATTTTTTCTATTATCTAAATTCAAAGTATTGTGCAAAATCTGACTACTGGATTGCTGAATATGACACACACACACACACACAATCATGACTTTCTCTTCCACATATCATGAGAATAATCACAGCCAGATATGACCCTTGTGCTCTGTTTAAAAATGTGAGATCTTGGCCAAGACTTTCATTCCACTTCCGCAACAAATTTAGGGTCAGCAGTAAAGACACAAGCATTCTATGCAGGAGGGCGTCATCATGAGCATCAATTAGCTGCTTTCTGTTGTTCATTCACTTTTCATAATTACATCTTATTATGAGTTAAGAATCGTATACTTCATTAAAAAGATTAAATATGCACTTGAGACATAATAGTTTGTGTGTGTGTGTGTGTGTGTGTTTATCCTGTATAGGTTTTTAGATAAAGTTGAAGACAATTAATATATGAACATAAATACTTGATGGAAGGATTGATTATTTCCTGCCCTGGATGGTCACTGGGGAAGCATATGAGTATAATGAAGGGTTTTAAGGCCTCAAACTTTTAGGTTCCATTTCAAAGGTGATCCAAAGTGTTCCTTAAGGAGCACTTGAACTTAACCAAGTCCGAAGTTAGCAAAAGAAAAAGGGAAGAATACAGAAAAGAAAAAGTGGAGGACCGAGCAAAAAGAGAGAAATCACTGGGTCCCCTCAGGGCCCTCCATTCAGCTGCATATTATGACCATTAGGGCGGCACATCAGTCTCTGAGGATGCTGGGATTCTGAGCACTTATTGCTTTTAGATCACATTCTTATTGACTTCTGTCACATTGGTCGTTTGTCTTGAGGACCTGTGTCATTCTGAGGGGGACTAAGCAGTGACATATTGGAGACATTTTTTTCTCAGAAATGGCCCCGTTTCCGAGGGGTGCAATAGGTTAAGCTGCTCAAGTGCAAGTGCTGAATGGCACTGATTGTAAAGCCTGCTATCTCTCAGTGTGGGTAAAAACTCGTCAGAAACCAAGGTGTCTGCAAAACATTTTAACTCTCACATGCTGTATGCATTACTGCACTGCATGAAGTGATAGAGCAGAACTCAATTCAAACATAACAAATCCAAAAGAGAAAGAGGAACAGGTTAAAATGAGCTTGCTGTACATCTAAATGTAAGGAGAATGTGTTGAACACAGAAGCAATCATAAAGACATTAAATGAGGGTGGAAAAGGGAACACAAGCCCCTGATGAGTTTAATAATCACAAGTTTACTTGCAATAGCATGGTAAAAACCAACCTAGGATGGATAAATCATTATACTTTTATCAATATGTGGAGTTCATTATGGAATACATGAAGCATTTTTCAAACGTGATGACTTATTTAATAAAGAAAACATAATGAGAAAAAAATATTAGGTAATAAATTATGCAGATTTGATATAAATCAAGTCATTGGGTGGAAAACAACTGAAGGGGCTCGTTTTTCATTTCTGTACTTATACAAGTGAATAATTAAAAATGCATGCATTCATTTCTCTGCATTAGATGCAAAAGGAAACTATGTTTGCAACAATATTATGCCTACATATGCATGCATCGTTTCATGATAAAACTGGCTCACGTTTATCCTCTTATATTCTAGAGTAATTTAGAAACTTACAGTTTTCGACATTGCATGATAAATAACAAAAAGTTTTTTCTTTATGGTTTTTCCCTGCAGCGAAGTAGTTATAATGCGTCTTAAATTATATATTGAGATTCCCTAGTAGATACTGTCTAAAATAGAATTGAGAAGAATATACACAGTACTGAGGAGTCACTAACTATAACTAGTGACTCTACTAACTTAACTAGATTTTTCATCTGTTTTTTAAACAGTATAGATTTTTCAGTGACAAGCTATAATTTATCCTAAGCTACTTTATACATGTTTGCAATGCAGCATGAAAATTCAGCATGAAAGTCATGTGCTTTATTTATGTTTCATTTTGAACCAGGTTAAGTTACTTTATTTACAAATTTATATTTTTTCTACTTAATTTAAGTAGAAAAAATACAGATCCCATACACATATATTTTGTCATCTAGTTTATATAAAAAATGTCTTCCAATGCACCTACAATTTCTATGAAGTGAAAATCTCTACATAAAAGTCCTCAAAATATTTAGTTAAAAGCTGCTGCTTATTGCTGTTTTTAGTCACTAAAATGGTGTGTTATATGTTTAATGCTGTCACCCAAATTTAACTTCATTCATTTCAAAATCCTTCTTGTTTGTAAAGCAGAGAAATACTGCTCTGAATTAAATAATATGTATATATCTTACATATTTTAGAACATTGGCCCCTAAAATAGCTTCAAATTAAGTTCATTTTCTGTTAGTAGCATGTAGTGTAGATAAACTCCAACAACAATACTCATTTGGAAAAATAGATAACTTCATTAAATCATGAGTAACTTGTAATATGGCAAGCTACAGTTTTAAACTAGCATCCCCACCACTTATGCACACACATCTAATACAATCACAAAGACCTAGCTCTCCCACTAACTTCACAGCTTTGCTCACCTTTAATACCAGCTGCTGACATGCATGGGAAGGAAGGAACACATAGTGACAATTTAAGAACAATTAGCGGTACTTAAATATCCGAGCTAATGAGAGGAACTGCACGTGGTAAATAAACAAATTAGCACTTTCATAATATTATCAGAGAGACAAAGGCCTCAGGACAGTGTGAGAATGTAATTTAACGTGTGTGTTTTTTTAAACCGAGTATTGTTGCACTATAAAGATTTTACAGTGACTTTAATTTTTACAGCCGTGTACCTGTTATCACGGGTTAAAGCGTTACAGCTCTACATACCGGGCTATGTTTTGTGTGTGAAAGAGTGTAAGCGCATGATATTATGTGACTATGCATTACCCACCATGCTCTGCTGCAGCCTTGAGCGTGGCCTCAGAGTGTGTGGACCCAAACAGGTTCCTGATGAAGCGCCGACGTCTCCTCAGGTCATCCTCCCAGTAGTCCAGGCGCCAGAACTCCCGCGGTCTGCTGCCGAAAGGAAGAGAGAGAGGCAAAGAGAAAGAGAGAGAGAGAGAGAGAGAAAGAGAGGCACATATGTTAGCAATTAGCCAATGCAGTGAGAAGTGGCACAGGCAGAGCTGCATAATACTGGCCTTGTTTTGCTGTAACCTTCTTCAGTGCAAAGTGCACTAACTAAAGAATGGCTAATATCAGATAGTTATGGTAATTATGATAATTATTGTTAATAATAAAATATACCTGGGCTTTAAAAATATTTGTAGCTAAATATCAAAAATGGTTATTTAGTTGTTGTTTTATTTTTCAGATTTATTTAACGGGCTATTTTGCTTTAGTTTTCAAACATATTAACAGTATAGGAATCATATTAATGTCAAGCAATTTATTCAATATTAAATCAACCATTTTTTCCCTACGTTTTGGGGTGAACACTATGCAGTACTGCACAATAAAATAAAGGCTGGATTGCAAACATTGTACATTATTTCAGTAGATAAATTCTGTAAAAATATGTATAGTTTAACATTAAGTAATCAGATGGATGCACTAAAAATGGTCTGAACACTAAAAAAGTATGGCTTTCCCCAATAATAAAATACAATCAATCAAAATAATAACCACATCCAACCAAGAGTCAAGAAAGTATACATTTTTCAAGCTAGACATTTCACACACAAAAAATGTGTTATATATTAAATATAATTTACAATTATGACAAAAAAAGTATAGTCTACACATGCTTATAGAAAAACACATATGAAAAAATAAATAAATAATTGCCAATTTATCTACCTAGCATATAGCAGTGAAATAAAACTGCTAAAATTATACATGTGTGTTCTAATTTTAGAAGTCACATTTGCACAGAACTCCAGAAATGTTTGTCCTTGGGAGTAACGCTGAAGAAGAGGCCTAGATTTTTGCAGCACCTCATGAAGGTGAGATGAGAGCTAAATACATCACACTGAAAATCAGCCTGCTGACACAGCAATCTAGCACACACACACACACACACACACACACACAGAATGAGCCAGTGCTGTGGTTCCAGGCTCATTTCTGAGCCCAGCAGGACACCTTACAGCAGGACTGCTGAGGAGAGGGACCACATTTGACTCAGTGTCCTTCACCTTTAGCCATTTTCCCTCCGATATGCACCTCTTACCACTGTAAAGAAAACTAAAGTTCTTCCTCACTCTCCATCACTCTCTTTCTTTCCATCTTGTGCTTTTGTGTTTTCTCTCGATGTGTGCGAAAATGTTCACTTTTAATGAAGGTACAGTTAGGCGAACAGTTATAAGATATTATCCCATTTAGATTCAAAGGGCTTTAATTAAAATAATCTCTTGAAATATTCATTATGTTTAGCCCCCTGAGGTGCACAGAAAATACATTTCCAGCACCATAAATGAGTGTAATCTCCAAAAGCTTGCTTTATTTGAAATAGAATGAACTAATTTCAGGCTAGGGGAGGGAAGGGTATAATTTGTTGAATCAAATTAAACTCTTTTTTTTATTTTTTGCTGTAATGCACAATGGCATGAGCAATTAATTACACACATGAGCACAAAAGTAAAATTAATTTTGAACCTAAAAGAAACCCATGTGCGATTTTCAAGAAATTATGTGATAAAATATTGGTTTTGTGAATCTTAAAAAATGAAGATCAGTGATCATATGCCATCCAGAAGGACCGATCCCAGAGCGGGCTGGCGGATCATCTGTGATCCAGCAAGCGAAAGGGGCTTGTGGTGGGGGGATGACAGCGAATGGCTTTAGCAGTGGCTCTGTAGCCGTCCTCCAGCTGATTTACTGTAGGTGCTGTGAAATATAACTCTCTAAGTCCATTCTGTTCTGTGGAAGTGAGAATAAGTTTTATCGTGCAACAGGGCCTCCACACCCAGGCCAAATAAATCAGGATAACGGCCACTTAAGAGCCCTCCCTAGTGCTCACCTTCTTTTTTTACACCCGCATACTTTAACAATCACCAGCAAACACACTATTATGACCTAAAATACCATAGAGGTGGAAAAATATGTATAGTTTAACATTAAGTAATCAGATGGATGCACTAAAAATGGTCTGAACACTAAAAAAGTGAGAGAGAAGGAAAGTATTGAAAGAAGGAGTTGAGAAAATAGATAAATCAAAGAGTGGTACTGCAAGTCTTCTCAGAATTAATGATTCTAGGAGAAATAAAAACAGACAGAAATACTTCTGGAAATAGTTATGGCATGCAAAACACACATTTTAAAATCCCACTTAAAATAGCTTCTCAGGCATATGGGGCCAAGAGGGTTTGGGGCTATCCGAGCACTGCAGGTTTTTCTCAGAAGTGTGATCGATTCGCTCTGCTGCAAAAGGCTCAAAACAAATCCCATCTCGTAAAACTAACGAGAGCGCTTAAAACATGAAAATAAAAACAATTCTACTCTTCGCTTGAAAATCTCACCGGCTCGACTAATAAGAGACATCAATAACTGATTTATTTAAGATAGGAAAAGGAGATGTCATTTAAAGGGAGATGTGAGTTTTCCTGGAGAAGCACAGCTCCTTGGAGACCATTTACGGCTCAGGCAGACAGCAATGCCTTTCTGTTAAATGTTTCAAAGGAAATGTTTACACACAGACATGAGTAAAACCAAAAAAAGAAGAAAAAGCCCTTAGAGTTACAACTGATATGTTAGTAAAGAACGGGAACCAAGCACGTAGTGTACATGCACAAAACACATGCAGTAAAAATAGTGCATGACCCCAGTCTCTTGGGTCCACCTAATCACTAATGAATGAGAGAGCATAAATACAACAGCAATACAATAACCAGGACCTGAACAGTCCCCCCTTAAAAGTGTATCCCACAGAGTTGTTTTTCTCAATTCCTACCTCTAATTGCATTCAGATGGAACTAAAGTATATTCACTATATTCCTACTTTGCAGTCCCTTGTGTCACACAGTGTAGTGCAATCATGCGCTTGCCTATGTTATAAAGCGTAAATATGCATGAATATTTAATCAGTAAGAACGCATACGGGTAGTAGTATTAGAGGTCCAATAGAGTGCAACCTTGACCAAATTTAAGAATTAAAAAAATAAAATGTTCAATAAAGAGTTATAAGCCAAACCAACCAGCTCTAGGATGAATCACATCACCACAAACTTTGAAAAAATTTAAAGGTATTTTATGAATGAAGGAACTACAATCCCATGAAGCATTGCAAATTACATTGTCAAATAAAAATGGTGGTACGACATAAAACTATTCAAAAAGAAGAAAGAAAACTGCCCTCATCTTCCAGGGCATCAATAAGGCTCCAGATTTAGCTATTAATGTATTAAAAAAAAAAATAATAATAATAATTTTTGACATCATGCTGGCTGATAGGTGAATAATGATCCTGGGTACTTCCCAGTGCTACATGAGAATGCAAACACATAAGAGAGAGACATATGAAAGGGAGTGCACTCATAACTGTAATTGTAAAACTGTACAACTCTTAATTGTAGCACAAGTGGACCACCAAGAACGACAGGACAGCAAATCATAACATAATTACTTAAAGGGGTCCTATTATGCTCTTTTACAAAGTCTTGATTTTGTTTTGGGGGTGTACTAGAACATGCTCTCATCGGTGGTTCGAAAAACGCATTATTTTTCACATAATTTACATTATTACAATACCTTTCTCCCCAGCCTGGCACAAATGGCTTGATTAGTTCCGGCTTTGATGAAGGTCCGCCTTCCGAAAAACAAAATGTGTTGTGATTGGTTAGCTGTCCCAGTGCACTGTGATTGGCGAACAGCTTAGACGGTGTTTCAGTACTGCCACGCCCCTTGCTCCGTCTTTCAACAAAAGCTTTTTGGCGAATCCGGCACTGTACTCCCTCATGTTGTGTAAGCTGTCCTCAGTAAAATGAGCAGCACACAATAGCAAATTGGGGTTATAATGCTCAGGAACAGAGTTAAAAAATAAATTGCAACCACTGTTTCTTGACATCATCCGCTTTCGGAAGCCCAAACAAAGACATTTGGGCACAGAGGTGAAAAAAAAACAGCGTTTCAGGCGGTCACTCACCGGGCGAGAAGCACAGCGTCGTGCCACATCTTTAAAATTCAAATACATTATTTTCTATGAGTGTAGACACACAGGCGGCACCCAGCTACGTCGTGTTATACTTGTAAGACTTGTTCTAGACATGCCGAAAATCTGACGCTACTGCACAGCAGCTCTTCTTCTTGGTTTTCTCTGATGCACTACCTCTGCAGCAGCACTTCTTCTTCGTCGTCGTCTCGTCTGATGTACTCACTCAACCAAGCATTCTAACCACAACCTCGCCCCTCCCCACCCCCCAACCATTCAAAATTCTGTAGGCGGGAATTCTTTTTAATGATATTCTAATGAGCCACTTTGTGATATCACAAAGCCCGGAAACCAACGTTGTAGTCCAAACGAGCCGTTCGTTGTAGTTCTTGAAAAGGGATTTTAAAAAAACGAAATATCTCCCTTTGGAGTGGACTTTGAGATTTGTAACTTTCTAGATCTTTTTTATGTCCAAACATATGCACTACACACTGACTAAAATTAAAAAAGTGAAAAAGCATAATAGGACCCCTTTAAATGTTCTGAATACTAGCAAAAACTACACAATGTGCGATATGCCCTATCCTGCAGGAATAGTATGGGACATACGCAAGTATTCTGTTCTGATCGTAGTTATTGATAAATTACAGTAAAATTACCTTTAAATTTGGATTACTGCTCACAATCAGTCCATCATCTTGATAGTATATTTCAGTGTAATTATGTCCAATGAGTTGCCTAAATTACAGTAAACATTTATTTAGGACAACCTTAAGAGTACAATGGTGTATTTCATACTATTAAACATCCAAATGAAATGTACAGAAAGCTCCAAGATAAGACTTTGAAATATAATACACCCAAACACAACACTCACCTGTTCTTTTCCAAATGAATCACATGAGTTTTCCCTCCAAAGAATAATTTA